TTATAGGGAAGAAGAAGGGTTGACGAGGGTTGTGAAGATGAAATGTGCCTGGCGGGATCTGCGCCAGCATCCGCGACCAAGTACGTCATTGTTGCGCTAGGTTGGAGCCCGCGGCAAGACAAGGCCGACCAACCCACAAGTGGGTCACTCTGTGAGACGCGCATTTCCGGTTCGCTATGGCCCAAAGATGGTTCTGTCTATGTAAGATCAGATGCGTCTGGGCAATGAGATAGTCGATGAGCTGGTGTTTGCGCCACGCTTGATGCGCCTGGACGCTCCGTGGCTGTGTACTTGGGGAACTCTCGTGTTCGCCCCGTTGTGACGTCTTCCACGCTTCTCCCACATCCCCTTCACTCATGCATGTGTATACGTATGCATATGTATGTAAGATACGACTTGGTTGCTCTATGACGTGATTTTCTCCAATTCTCAGCAGCATCGCATAACCTTCGTTCAAAAAACATGTGATTGTGCCGCCATTCTGGACGTGACTTGTCTGACACCTCAGTTGCAGCAACAGCCGATAATCAGCCAACATACCCAGAGAGGAAGCCTACGGCTATAAACCATCGATCACGGCAAACGGCTGTCAGATCCCTAGCCTTGGTACACCATTCCGCTTTCGTGTCTCGCGTCTTTATTGGCATGCGCCTTCATGCCTGCTACTACCAGAAAAGGAACAGAAACAGCAAAAGTGTCGATATCTGCGCATCCCGCTACCCGGCAGCCGCCTACCAACCAGACAACTGGATACGCGAAAGACTGGGACCTAAAACTGCAAAGGTTGCATTGAACCCTCGGCCCAGTGGTAGCGAGAGCACTACGAGGCCCGAGATAGCAAAAGAAAACATGAGGTATCTCTGTGAGAGAGCGAGAAAGCGCTTTGGTACAAGAAGGTCGTCGAACATCTAGCCATATTCCGCCAGCAGCCACAGACATTCACAGACCTGGATACAAAGCAGCACTTATAAGCCCATTTGCAAACAAACAAAAAGGGGAAATTAATATCCCCTTTTATACTGTGGCTTGAGGCTAGCTCCGCATTCAAACCTGACCCGTCCATATCCAAGTTGCGGTTCAAACTCCGCATATCGAGGACCCCCCCCCCCCTCACCCTTCTTCGTAAACATGTTTCAAATACCAGAACAGGAAATCCAGCAGATCCGTCGATAGTAGACAGCGGAAAGGAGAATAAATCGTGCACTAGTACAACCATACCGAGTCATGGTCGGCTATTCTAACTTGGAGAAACTGATGCATTTCAACTCATCTATCCAGATGCCACGATGCACATTAAACATTGCTTGTCAGACCCGACCCAAAGATTCAGTGTCAAAGGCAGCCAAGACTTGTTTTATAGGTCTGTCATACGTGGGTTCAATGGGAACTGGATTTTGCTTGTGTGTCAGTGCACTCACGTTACTTTTGGTGACCCATATCATCGGTACGAGGAACGTCACGGCGCCAGAATGCGGTATCTGCGCATACCGCAAGAGGAAGTTTCTGGAAAGGTGTCGAAAGCAGATAATCATTGTGGCTTATAGTTGAACAAGCAAAGTGAATAAGCGTACACCTTTATTGGTACGTCGTATTTCTGCATGCGTCCCAGAAACTGGGTCACTGGTTGATGAGGAGGAATACCGAAGATTCGTGTCAAAATGTTTTTTCGGATAAGGGACAGAAGACATGCGGTTACTTTGTATCTCATCTGTTTTCAGGAAATAAGTTTGTAAAGTTTGAGTTTGAACTACGGCGCAAATACGAGCCAAGTTGCTATGCTAATATATGTGGAAGAACGTATTAACGAGTCAACCAGTCCGGACAAGTATCATCTCACCAACGCCTTACTAAAAACAGACGTGCTCTGCTCTATCTCCAAGCTACATATCGTGTATATTATGCCAATACTACATATACCTAAGCCCTATCTTTCCACCAGCACAAAACGTTTGCGTCCCATATTCAACTTCCTAACGTTAACTTCTTTAGCATAGCCACACCATTCCAAACCACTGGTACTCAAACTTTGTTAACTCAAATAAACAGTATACACTAATATCCTGCATCCGGTCCTAGCTCATCCAGTTCCGTTCGTAGTGTCCCTTTACATCCTGTTCATTTATCTATCAACCCTGCTCCCTAAATTTACGGTAGGTATACCTAGACGTTCATCTTTGACAGGATAATCACAACCTTGTGAAAAAAAAGGAAAGAACGCCCCATTGTCTATATTAACCAGCGACAGCCATGGACCTAGACATACATGTTTATATCTCACGTGTTGTCAAAGCAGCAAATTGCACACAAGAAGCAATCTCAACGCACGTTCCTTGGATTCAAAATACATCTCTAATCAAAACCACGCCTTCTTCTCCATTGGCCACATAAAATTACGAATTTGGTATAATATGGTACTTACGTAGGACTTTTGGAAGGTGTCGAGCCTGGGTCGTCCAGTGCAGCCTAGGCTGGCCATGTGTTATCACCACAAGAGAACACAATGCGAAACAAAGAACATTTGTAAAAATGAACAACTCATCACAGTGATCGATTCAGACTTAAATAAAGAAAGCGCCTCAATGATAGTCATTCTGATGTTTCTCATGGCCAAGCACGCTAATCTAGAATGCCTAGTCAATCTTGACCCGAATACCCCTATTATGCTTGGTCATAGGAATAAACATGTCGTGGTCGTAGAGAACATCTTCCTCGGTCGTATCCCACAGGCGCATGTGCGGTAGCACACGTAGAACCAACGCTGTCAGACTCAGGTGAAGTTCGCACAGAGCAAGGCTAGAACGTTGTGTTAGCATCAGTATTCCAAAGGTTTTATCAGAAGAAGATAAAAACGAGTATACTTACTTCATGCCTACGCAGGCACGGCTGCCTCTGGAGAAAGATAGCATGCTGCGCTCGACCTCTTTCCTTCGCTGGTTCTTCTCGTCTAGCCAGCGCTCGGGAGAAAATTCGAAGGAGTTCGGGAAGGTGCGTTCGTTGTGATGTGTGATGAATGATGACATTCCAATGGCATATCCTTTGGGTAGAACGTACTGGATCTTCTTCTTGTTCCATTCGCCGCGGTAAAGTAGATTTTCCTCCGTTGGTACGCGAGCAGTGCGGCTAGATACACCGTATGAAAGTCGGAGTCCCTCCTGAATAACTGCGCCTAGATACGGCAGGGTCTCAAGAACAGTCCACGAGGGCAAGTGGGTTGGGTCTGTGACGACAGTTTTGAGTTCTTCCGTCAGTTTTGCTAGGATTTCTGGCTTGCTCAAAAGATGGTAGGTTATTACACCTAGAGCCCAACTTGTAGTCTCTGTTCCAGCACCCACAATGGCTTCGGCCTCGTCAGCGATCCAGCGGAACCGATGCTTCTCCTCATGTGTGTCTGATTGCAAGAGTGAGGCGAAGACAGTCGGTCGCTCATAAGTGATGCCAGCATCCAGGTCTTCTTGTGCCTTGCGGACCTTCCAAGGCATATCAATCTGTAGCGTTTTGACCATGAGAGCAATATCGCTAGGAAGGTAGTCAATAAAGGTTGTCGCAAGCGAGGCACTTTTTTTGGTCCACGGGAAGAAGCGGAAGACAAATACTGGTCGAAGGACAGATGCAGTTGGCTCGCGGAAGTTTGGATACCATCCCTTCTGATTAAGAAGACCAAAACCTTCGCCAAAGCTGTAGGAAGAGATGGCGTCTGTCGTGAAACAACTGTATGCCATGGTAATATCGAGTACTTCGTCATCTCCCGATTGTGCAAGAAGCTTGTTGCACAGCTTTTGAACCAATGCGTGAAGCTCAGGTTCGAGGCGTGCAATCATAGACCGCGAGAAGAACTTGGCCACGGGGATGCGGCGAAGTCGGTGGAGGTCATGGTCAATAGTACCGAATCCTGCTTCACCAATACTGAAAGATTGTCAGTTGGGGTAGTCATTTTACATAGATTCAGGAGCAGCTTACGCAGAGCCGTTGATCTGATGGACTGGCTTGTCACGCTTTCGTCCACCTACGGCATAAATCTCATCGGCAAAACTGACATCGTCGCAATGGATTTCGTTCGGATTGATGCGCACGAGGGGGCCTGGTACACAAACCTACAATCAGCCTTTACCTTCGGAGGCAGCGATTGATTGCATCCTTACCATACACCTTATGCATTCGAGCAATCTCTTTCGTGTAGCAGCCGAACTTGATAACATCATAATAGAATTCCGGAAGGTATGTTGCTGCAGCCAATCTCGGACCCGGAATGTGGCTCAGCGGATGCAATGGCGAAAGGTTATACAATGCCTGTAGGGCTTTCAAGAGGAGCCATAATCCCAAGAGTACTGAGCCATAGAATGCTGAAAGATACAGCATTCCTGGCGGTGCTTGACCATCCGACGAGTCCATGATGAAGGATGCAATGAGCAGAGAGTTGTCCTTTTGTCTTTGAAACCCATTTTACGGACGTAGTGTGCTTGGTACACTGAATTAGCGCGACTAGCAATTCGTGCAGGGTTTGAAGTGGCTCTGCGATAAAACCTGCGTGTTCAAGTGGGGTGGAGGTCACTTTGTCTGCTGCACGCCTTATTCTGGCGGACATCGCCCGGGATTGGGAAGCTACACGGAATTACAGGGCTCAAAATAGACACTACGGCCGAACAGTTGATATGGCTTGGCGCAAAGGAGGTTGCTCGTAACGAATGGCAAGTGAGCTTCAGCGAGTCAGTCCCGCTGTGAGGATTGCGCTAAACCAAGTCATCGCGCGGAGGGATAGAAATCAGTAATGGCATGTCCTGTGATTGGCCTGCCGTACGCTTAACAAAGGCCTGGATGACATTAGCACACTGTAAGGACATTTTGGACCCTAAAGCGATGCCGGACAAGCAACACGTGCTGTCGGGCGGGGCGCGATCGAGCACCGTGCCAGTACAAGGATTCCCTTGATGCGAAGCTGCCAATTCGTAGAGGGTAGTGGCATGCTGTCAATTAGAACCATGAAGAGGATATCAAAGTCGATCTTGTCTGTATAGTTTTATTCATGTTCTTCATTGTAAATCTGAACGAAGCAATGCTCATGTCTATAGCTGCCAGCGCTTCTTGACACTGTGCCAAAGCTATTGTAGTCGTACCCTACTCTTCTCGGTAGCCATGTTTTACCTGGCCCTGGATAGAACCAACTTGCCCCTTGCCGCCAGCATAATCCAACCTCCAATGAGGCACAGCCCGCCAATTGGTGTAACGGGGCCTACTGACTTGTATTTCTTCGCATCCCAGACGAGCAGATATATGCTACCAGAAAACATGGCCATGCCCGCCGTAAAGAGACTCATGGCAAGTTTGTTCGCCGGCGCCACGGCAGCGGTAAGTGTCAGAACGACTGAGTGGATGAGCTGTTTGCATTGTGCATTAGCGGGGTTTTGAGGCTCAACAAGGAATATAGTGGCGAAGCAGAAGAGACTGTAAAGGCCGTGACAGCAAAGATACTAAACTGCATACCTGATAGTGAGCGGCAGTGCCCCAACTGGCAATCTTGGCTGGATCAGAGATGCGCTGCTTCAACGCATGAGCCCCAAAAGCACCAAGCGCGACACTCGAAGCGCCGAATAGCGTGCCAATTGTCCAGAACGGCGACGTGGAGCTATAGGTCGTTCCATATGAGGAGTACGGTGGACCGTAGACCGCTTCAGGCTGCGATCGCGACTTGCGCGAGGATGAGGATGACGATTTCTTGGAGGACGACATGGCAATGGTTGGTAAGAGAGTGGTCTGGTGGTCAAGGTGGGATGTCAAGGTCAAGGCGGAAGCCGCGGTTTGCGGAGCCTCGGAGGTATGTGTTGTCTGATTGGTCTGTGCACATAAATGTCTAGAAAAAAAGGCATTCTAGTTCTAGAAGATTGGGATTTAGTGGTATCATAGATGCTGAGAAATGCATCTTACTGTTTTCAACGCCATAACTCCTTCCTAATGCAATTGTGGTCTCGTAGCCCACAAACTATGCAACCGCGCCAATGCGCCGCCCGGTACTGCCGAGGGCGCCTCAATCAGACTCTGAATCGACCTCCATGACATCTCCATTTGTCTCATCTCTCCGTTTCTGTGTCCTCGCTGCGTCTGTTATAGCCTTCTTGCCTCCTCTTCCTGCCTTCTGTGCTCCCTTTGCCGCCTTCTCCTCCTCTTGGGAAAGCAGAGAACCGTCAACACGCAAGAAACCCTTTCCCTTTCCTTTACCATCCATTCTGCCATCAATGTTGCGTATCCTGACCCGCAGTTCGCCCTCTACCTTCTTCCCCTTGCCATTCACCCACCAACCTCCTTCATCTGATAGTTTGTCGTCCCAGCCTTTCTTCACTTTGCCTGACTCGTTCTGGTGCCATGACCAGTCTTCAGGCATGTTTTCCTTGAGGATGCTGACGGGGAAAGTGTTAAGATGTGCGAGTGTGATATGCGTTTTCGCATGATCGGTGACGTGGGCTTGCAGGTATGCGTTCTGAACTGGACGCCATACGAGGAACGAGGCAGTTGCCCAGAGGAAGGGTGCAGCGTATTCATCGACGTGTTTTAAAAGCAGAGGCTCTGCGTGAGATTCAATGTTGCGTTCCGAGTCGTTTTGCGCACGTTTCGAATGTGACTTGGTGGCAGATGCGCTTGGAGGTGTACTGCTCAATTCAACATCCTCATACGCAAGCACTACACCATTTGCGGGTGGGAAGTAGGTGAGGAGCAATGGTGATAATACAGTCGCGCATACTGCTGAGAAGGGATCCGAAAGGCATGAAGGCGGGATAGAGACGTATTGTGATATACGCTCAGTATGAAATAGGGATACACCCTCGCTCGGTACAGGTGCCATAGTTGGAGAATGAAAAAGCGTACAAGTTGCGTAATGTGGTTTGCGATCGCGTTGTCGCAAAAGTGCTGAGCTCGAAAAAAGTTGGAGATCGGCGTCTGCAGACACCGGTTTGTGGGGGTCCCACTAAGGTCCAAAGAAGTTAGTCTGTGTTTCCGATGGTTAAGTGCACGCCAGAAGGAAATTGAAATCTGGACTAGAAGGCGCTTCTTGAAGAAATCTACATGCCTGGGTTTCCTACTTTAAGCTTTGTTAGCACTAATTGTTTCAATTACTACTGAATGCTCAGTCCTTCGCCAAGCCGGCACTCTGTTCAGTTATCTACTACGTACTTCTGGCGAGTTCATGTCATGGATAAGAAGAGTTAATGCTATGTCTACACTGTTCTGTTCTTCCAGATATTAGTACACATTGTTTTCGTTAGGTACATGTTCAGGCACATATCCCCAAAGGAGCTCTCTTTAGTTTTGGAAGAAAACGTATTTTGGTACCAATGTAAACAAGATCTCAAAGGATATTTTAAGAAGACATGTTGTTATACAGCCGAAATGTCATATACCTAATATATGGAGCCTTTCATGGAACAGAATGAGAAACTAGTAGATATATAGATAACAGTCAAGCTGCCGCATTGTTGGCCTTGTCCGGCTGCGACCGACGTAATACCAGATGCTGAATGTTACGCATCTACGTATATTCCACAGCGGGTAAACTTTGGCGCAAAAACTCTCGATGTTCCGTAACTCCGAAAAGCGCATCCTAATTCTAGTTTAGATTGAGTTGAGCCACAAACTAAGAATTGCAACTCAACGTGTAAGTGAACAAGTCCACGTTTGTTTGCTCATTAGCGCCCCACTAAGCACGTAACAGATTGGGTTTAGCCTGTCGATAGAAGCTTTTGAGAGCCCAAACACCTGCTGAGTACGTACACTGGAATGCAAAGTAGGCAGCCGGACAGTTGGCTTTTGGATTACACTCAAGTCCTGGAAAAGACAGGCCTATGAGATTTCGAGGAAACACAGGCGATTATGCTTCACTCACGAAATTTGTGCCTCTCAGGACAGTTGGCGGCGATGCTGATGTAATGTTTGATGGGTCAACAAGGGACGCGCGCCTTCAGGCAAGCTAGAAAGCGGGTCTTGGCATTTACTACTGCCTACGCTAAACAACTCACACCGACCCTTGTCCACTCTTCATCTCCACCACGCTGTTGGCATTTCTGCAGCCTTGGTTTCTTGGTTTTGAATGTTGATCATTTCGTCTGCCTGAGTAAGACATGCCCTCCACCCGCGAACCCCCTTTTTCATAGCAACCAATACAACCCGTCGCTGTGAAACCAAAACTCGGTGAGATGGCTGGAGTTGGATGTCTCACTTCTCCTTGCTGGCCTAGTCGAGGACAAAGCGGAAAACAATATACACGGCTTGCGCGATTCTTTGCTTCCCCGCAGGAGCAGCCACGAAACACGCTGTCGCAAGCAAACAACCCAGCTTCATGAGGACATTGAAACTCAGCGAACAGACGTTATACACAGCCATTTACATTTACATCTTTTGCATACAAGTCGGTTGAGCTTCGAATCTGCGCAGTTCTTGGCTCGGTCTTCATCCGACCATAACCTTCTGGGATACTAACGCCGGCCAGAATGGATCCTTTTAGGTACCGTAAAGCTTATGAAGCGATGCTGCACACAACCCAGCTCATTGAGGATCGATTGAGACAAGATTTTGAGCCTGAGGAAGAAGTGACAGCCCAGAATGACGTACCGAAAGCTGCTTTTCTGGGACCAGACCCGGATAGCATGGATTGGACACCCACAGAGTCAGTTACTCCACCTCCGGAATGCGGACCGCCACCAGCTTTGTCGAAGAAACTGCGACACCTTCTCCCTGGTGGCGGTGACGGCGATCTACAAGTTGAAGACACTGGCGAAAACGCAGTGCTCCTTCATAAAATGAAAGAGGGCAAGATCATGGACGAGTGCATTGACAAACTAGTCAATGATCTGCCCGATGTCTTGAGTTACCAAAAATCATTATCTTTTACTCCTTCGACAATCGAGGTACCCAAGGACTTTGGCCTACAGCTGAGCATCTCAATCAACCACCATCTTGCTCAGATAGCCGATCGGAAAGCGTTGGAGAAGTACCGGAGACTTCTAGGCCACCGCAAGGAAAATTCGAAGAAGAAAGCGGTGAAGCTTGGGTTTGATCCAGTTGATCTGATCAAGAAGCAAGCCGTGGCTTTTGGGGAGAACGGACCTGCACCGGTTTGCACGCTTGACAATGACATCCACCCAATCTTTCGTTTGGAAAACTGGCATGGCTGTCCAGATGGGATTTATGAGGTGATGAAACCAGCCTTACAGCTTGCCACGTTGCTGGTAACCTCTCGAGCAACAGCTCACTTTTGGCATACCCTCGTTTTTGGGAAGCGGGAGCGTTGCCAAGAAACTTCAGCAATGTATGGCCAGCCATGCTTTCGTATTAAGGAAGACGTAGCGTGGTCTAAAGAGCGCGAAACAGCATTCAGAAGCTTCCTGGACAACCAAATTGACACGTTGCACTTTTACTTCCATCACGACCCTCTACCGCCTGAGACTGCCTATGCGTCGATGGGGTTGGTAAAAGACTATAAGAATGGTTTGATGCGAAAAATCAACCACAAGTGTCATACCAGCCGGATCTGCTTGCACTCAGACTTTTATACTACCGCAAAAAAGCTCAGCCTACTACGATATCGCGAGCCGGCCATGGTATTGCGATACAACATGTTTTTGGCTACATGCCTGGCACATGAAGTAGCTCATTTCTGCGAGGTTTCTGGGCCGCATCATGACCATCCTCTACTTTCTGAACCAGAAGTTTTCTTTAGCGACAACATGTGGACAGAAAGTGGAATCTCCTTTGAACTGAAAATTTTTGGCGGTCGCATTCACCCTTTATCCAGTCGGATCGATTGTAAATTCGGACTAGCTTGCCTTGACTATCCGCTCAAAGAGCTCTACGACAAGGACGACAATGTCTTGTACGCTTTACCAATGGAGTACATTCTCAAGCTCCAACAAAAGGAGACTTGGGAACAAGACTTCAGCAAGACTGGCGATGATGTTTTCTTCGTTCCTCGCACTGGTGGCAGATCGATAGAGATTAACGGCACCAATCTCATGATTTGGGAAGATGAGAATGATGCAGATATTTCAGATCACATCGATAATGAAGATACAGAGTGGATGCGAATGGATGATGGCTCCATCGCAAGGAATCCGAAAGCTAGCAATCGCAAATCACATCGTCAGCCCGTGGTACCACGATGGAATCCTTATAGTAATCAAAAACGGAAGAATGTTGTCGAAGTAAACGCACCCTGCGTTTCCAAGGAGGTAGTTGAGATTAAAGACGAGGAAGAGAAAGCACCTACAGTGTTAGAAGTTCCAGAAGATGTAGAAGGCGCCAAAGGCGGCTCGGACCAGGACATGATTTGAAGTCAGGCTTTTCTATCCTGCTGGAGTACACTGGGGCAAAACGAACAAATGGGAGGAATCATTGCATTCATAATCATCAGTTGGATACCATTGCATCTACGGAGGGGCGCTGTTGTCTAAAACCTTGAACTATCATCAGCTTTCTTTACATATTCTTGAATATATCACACGTGATTCCATAGAAAATATCAGCCAAAGCCTTAAGGCATGCTCAGTCCCTTTTCATGGGTATCTGAAGAGGATGAGGAAGGGTGGACTTGACCATTTTAGAGCTAGCGCTATGTGTTCGCTTAGGTTGCAGCGTGAATCTTGGCAGAGTCACTGAGTCCGAATTCTGCTTCCTGACACGACGGACGCCCAACGTTAGCATTCTCGCCGAGTCCTCCCACGACATATACCTCCGACTTCACGATGGCGGACACTCAGAAGGATGTGCTGTTCAAGACCGTACAGATCGATGCTTTGGTACGTTAGAAAAGCGCAGAGACAGCACCCCACTGTGCGCCCCGCTATTGTGCCATCAAGATGCTTTTCTCCAAGTGTGCCGCCGCAATGAGAGGCTGACGTTTGGCCTTCAGGTTGCGATTAAAATCGCCACTGCTAGCGGCAAGTCGTTCCCTTCGATCGCGACTGGCAGCATAGTCGGTATGGAGAAGAACAGTGTCTTGGAGATCACAAACTCTTTCCCCTTCCCCGACGTCTCTCCCGCACAGGCCGATGGACAGAATGAGACCGCCGCAAACCTCGCCGCAGCCGCCCCTCGCGCCAAGCAGAACATCGCCTACAGCAACGAGATGATCAAATTCCTTCGTGAAGTCAATGTGGATGCGAACAACGTGGGCTGGTATACCAGCACAAGCATGGGCAACTTTGTCAACCTGAACACAATCGAGAACCAATACTTCTACCAGAGCCAGCCAAACGAGAGGACTGTCGCCTTGGTCTACGACGTGAGCAGGAGCTCGCAAGGTACCCTGAACTTGCGCGCATATAGGCTGTCGCCTTCCTTCGTGGCGGCATACAAGGAGGGCAAGTTCACAACTGAGAGGTATGTAGGCACATTGGCGAAGCCCGAGAGTGATACTGATAAGTGTAGTCTACAAAAGAGCGGTCTTCGCTACCACGACATCCTAGTCGAGCTCCCAGTAACCATTCACAACTCGCACCTCCTCACCTCTCTTCTCCACCAACTGCCGTCGAGCGCACCAAAGGAGGAGCTCAAGTTCCCACCCAACCTAGCTGCTCTGCAGCAAGACCCTAACATCCCTCAGCCACCTCTGTTTCCCAACTACGACTCGCTTGATCTCTCGATCGACCCATTCCTGGAGAAGACGTGCGATCTACTCCTCGAGAGCATCGAGAATCACCACACTGAGATCAACAACTATCAATACTACCAGCGATCTCTCGCTCGCGAGCAGGCTAAGATTACCGCCTGGCAACAAAAGCGCAAAGCAGAGAATGCTGCGCGCACTGCCTCCAAGCAGTCGCTCCTCCCTGAAGACGAGTGGCAGAGACTATTCAAGCTGCCCCAAGAGCCAAGCAGACTGGAGACGCTCCTCAACTCGAGGCAGGTGGAGCAGTACTCAAGACAAGTGGATGGTTTCACGGCAGGCGTCACGTCCAAGATGTTTGCTGTTAAGAGCAATTTGCTGCCTGGAGAGTAAATGGGGATGGGTTTGGTTGTGTTTATGATTATGCTTCTCTTCGTCACGGCATGGGCATGGCGTTGCGGGTTAGCGGTTCCTTTAACGGGACTGGGTTTGATCTTTTAGACGAGAGAAAAAGGGCGGATATGCGAAGAGATGTTTGTAGCGTGTGCTTGAGTGTCGAGATGACCCAAAGTTGGTGGTGCTGCCAAAGCGTTGAAGCTCAAGGGCTGCCCAGTCAGGCGGCTGAATGCTGTTCTAGGCGTGCAGCTGGACAATTGCCACATACAGAGCTGAATCAGACAAAGAAGTAAACAAGATAGTGTCGCAACTCAGACTAGGGACTCTGCATGTGAAGCGCGTGTCTCGAGCTGGAATACATACATACATATATACTTACACACACACACACGTACTCAGCAGTAACAGGCGGCAAGTCGGCTATCGGGGACCATCGGGAGAGCAGCCTCTCTCACGGAAACGGCTTGGGCTAAAGCAGCGTCCAACAACGGCGCCATCATGCAACAAGCCTCTTCGCCCGTCCTCCAGCAGCAGCTTCGATTGCACCCTGAGTCCCTTCAGACGCTCCACCAGCCGACCGATGGCACGCTGTACCCCCACCACCACCAGGGGCTGCCCGAGCTCCAGACCCTACACACCACCGACATAGTATACCAGCAACCATACGCCTTGACCGGCCCACCCCAACCACAGCCTCCGTCGCATGCCTTGCCCGTCCACTTTGAGCAGCGTGGCCTGCCGTCCTCTGGACCATATCCATCATTCCCAGCTGCGAGCTACCAGCAACATGTCGCTAGCCCGCGTTTCATAGATGCGCCCCCTCCCCCGCTACAGGAACACGCCCAACACTACCATATCGCTGCACCCGAGACAGCGCCAAAGCCAATTCAGCAGCTCCCTTTCTCGCCGTCTGTCACGACCACACTCCAAACAGCCCATCCCTTGCCGCAGCATGTAGAACAGGCGCCTCTCCAGCAGCAGCAGCAGCAGCAGCAGCAGCAGCAGCAGCCGCAGCCGCAATCACAACCTCAACCGCAACCGCAGCCACAGCGTCAGGAAGGGCGCGACAGGTATGTTGGCATCGCCCACCACAGTCAAGATCGCGTTGAAGGTTTCTGTACGCACACCAGCAGTGAATATACTGCACGAAAGCTGCACAAACTCTTTCAACTCGTCTAGGTGTGAATGCTACTGTTCTGTTGGACAATTGCTGATAGTATGACAGTGATGACGCCCCATTCTCGAGCCATGGTCAATTTCAAGGCCTGAAACTTATTCCGAACCCGCCAAATTTAGAAGAATGGAGGAACAAGCTTTTCCACGTGGATGACATGATCACGTTGACCGAGGAGCAGTAAGAATTCCCATGTTTATTTGCATAATTGCGCCCTAATCCAAATCAAGGTTCCAAACCTATTTCCCACACATTGACAATGTCTACTCGCATCGCTCAACGCAAAAGCACAAACGCAAGCGCTTTGTATCCCATTACTGGGACTGCCGGCTAAAGGGGCGTCCACCGGGGACCAAGAAGTCCACAGACCCAGACAAGAAAAAGCGGAAGAGAGTAGCACGAGAGCGAGATCTATGTGATGTGAAGATCAAAATCACCGAGTTTTTTGATCGTCAAGAGTATGAGGAACAGCTTGGATGCCGGCCTCCAGGTACCGAGAATGACGGACCAAGTTCGATACCAACACAGCCAGCAGTGAACCCAGGTCATGTGGCAGATCAAAATCAGAACCCAAATCCTCAGTTCTTCGGGCAAGGTCCTTTGCTGTCACAACAGCCAGCTGGAGGTTGGGACTTGCCTCCAAATATGAGCGGTCAACCAGAGGTGAACCTACAACAGTATATGCCGCCACCCAGTCTTCCACCTCAAAAGTTCTATACCTTTCAGAGGGTGAACGGCAATGGTGGGAATGGCAAAGGTGATGGCGTTGCTGGGCCACACAAACATACCCTTGAAGAAAGTGATCGAGTGAAGAAAAATAGTGTTATCAGATGGCAGCTGAAAGCGGACAAAGAAGATAAAAAGAAATCACATGTAAGCTCCTTATTTCCATTGTGCGTTACATGTTGCTTTCTCGCTCTGTTGAAATGCCTGGTCACGATAGCGTATAACGAAGACCCGTCATGCCAGCGAATTGAGCGCATACGTCATATTGATGCTTGCCTAAGAAAAACCTCCACCCCAGCATTCCGTATGCGTAGGTTTTGCCCTACTTGCACTTTTACCCCAATTTCTTCGCCAAACAATTCACTGGTGCTTCAGCACAGCATTAATGCCTCTTGTTTCCAACCATATTCGCACTATCACCCGTCGAGCACCATCACTCTATACTAGTCGTTTTTTGTTTTATCCAATCTTCTCTCAAAAATCTGCCTATTCCCCCAAAACTCAATTCAAGTTACGATTCACTACCATATCTGTACGACATAAGATGACCGATACCAACCAGGGCGGGGATCCTTCCAAAAAGACATACCACAAAAAGGCCACTGGCAATGCCTTGACAACAGTGAAGAACCATTCGAAAGAAGATGATCTCAAGTTGTACGGCAGCGCGTTTTGGTAAGTCTTCTATCTAAAATCCGAAAGCACATCAGATAACTACATGACGTCATACATACAGTGCTAACAAGACAAAGCCCCTTCGTGCAGCGTGTCTGGATATCACTAGAGCACAAGCAAATACCCTATCAGTACATTGAAGTCGATCCCTACAAAAAGCCACAGAGTCTTCTTGACGTTAATCCACGTGGATTGGTTCCTGCGCTTAGGCATGGACCAACATGGTCAACCCATGAGTCTACCGTGATTATGGAGTACCTTGAAGACCTCCAGAAGGGTCCGCCTCTCCTACCTCCTGACGCTCAGAGTCGCGCTACATCAAGACTCTGGTCCGACCACATCAACCGCAACATTGTTCCGTGCTTCTACAAGCTCCTTCAAGCTCAGGACCAAAGCGATCAAATTTCACATGCCACCGAATTTCGTAATCAAATCGGAAAGCTCGTCGATGCAGCAGATTCTACTGGGCCTTTTTTCCTTGGTCCCCATATTTCTTTCGTAGACGTACAGATTGCACCTTGGATCATTCGGTTACGAAGAGTGCTTGGTCCATACAGGGGGTGGCCAGAGGCCGAGGCAGGAAGCAGATGGAAACAGTGGGTCGATGCGATTGAAGCGGATAAGAGTGTGAGGATGACTACGAGCACCGATGAGCTCTATCTGGATAGCTACGAGAGGTATGCTGAAAACAGACCGGGGACGAGTCAGCTAGCAGACGCTGTCAACAGTGGGAGGGGGCTGCCTTGAGCACGGCTATCGGACTTGAACTTTATTATTGTACATGAGGTTAATTTTGTTCCTTGTGGTTTACTTTAATACTAATTCATACAACTGCTGGACAATGACCTGACGTTGATAACGACCCATGTGTATACAACTTTCGCGTTATAATTGCAAGCCTGACACGACTCGCGGTGCTAAAGGACAAACTATGCAAGATTTTCAATAAAAAACATCTGTACGTCAATATCTAAAAATGCATTGATCAAAAGCAAACGTCAGGCACGCGAGCCCTGAACAGCAGCCCACTAGCGCGTTCCAATGAGGGGCACCTAGTATGCAACCGCGGGGCAGCCGCAAGCAAGTCTCAACACCAAGCACACTCCCTGTAACTTGCCTCTACCTCCAACTTGTAACCGCCAAAATGTTTAAGAAAGAGTCAGCTTCATTCCCTAGCCCAGATATATATAAACGGAGAACCAAGCTAACAAAACCGCAGCATAACCCCCGGCGCAAAATCCAAAGTAAAATCTAGCGCGCAACGCGGCATCCGCTCCAAAGTCCTCGAAGAATACCCAAAGCTAGAACCCTACATCGAAGACATACTGCCCAAAAAAGAGCAATTGGATCTCGTAAAGCTGTACGTTCCACTCCCGCATTCCCACAGCGATAGTTTATGCCGACACCACCACCCCCAATACCAAACCAAAAAAAAATACAACAATACTACCAGTAGAGAAAATGAAGAAAGTAAAACTAACAGTAATTTTACTCACACACACATTAGACCAGACCGCGTATCCCTCTACACCCTAAACTCGACACCCCTCTTCTTCCAACACATGGACGACGCACTCCTCCCACACCTCACCCTCGTACACAAGTACCCCTTTGCGTTCAACCGTCTGCGCATCGACCGCGGCGCAATCCGCTTCGTGCTCTCAGGCGCCACGCTCATGGCTCCCGGTCTCACATCTCCCGGCGGCCGCTTGCCCGGTGCTGATTTGAGCGACGAGGATAAGGAGAAATATGGGGCCGAGGAGCTGAAGGAGGGCGCCGTGGTGGTTATTGAGGCTGAGGGCAAGGAGACGGCGTGTATGGTTGGAGTACTGAAGATGGGCACGGAGGAGATGAAGAAGGTTAAGAAGGGACAGGCGTGTGAGGCGGGTCATTATCTGGGAGATGGGCTGTGGGGATTAAAGTTGGATTGAAGTTAGATTCAAGGGAGTGGGAGCACGAAGTTTACAGGTTCATGGATTGAGCAGCACAAGGGCTGCGGATATGATTGTTTTTTTTTCTGAGAAGCTGGACAGATGTAAGAGCTGGCTGCAGAATCTCTCGGAGATTGTGCCTGCGAACGCGCCTTGGGAACGCGTCGAGGTCACAAGAGTCACATAAGTAGTAGCCTTCCAGTAGGTGACAGGAAACCACCAAAGCAAGTGAACATGGTATCATTATTTTGCTCGTGCACTACCTCTTGTAGCAATCCTGCTATCGCCTGTACTACACTAGTCGACGACTTATTGGGGGGCACCTCCTGCTCCACGACCAGCACCGGCACCAGCACCTCCGCCTCCACCCATAAAGCTACGGGCCCTAATACGTTGTTAGCTTTTGTAAATGTGTTGCCAGGCCGCTTCACTTACATCTCAGCTATGCTCGGGTCGTTCATGAGATCCGAGATGTTGGGCATGCCACCACCACTTCCGCCTGCACCTCCTCCTCGTCCACCACCGCCACCGAATTGCTGAGCCATCTCCGCTATCCTTGGGTTGTTCATGAGGTTGTTCATCATGTCCGGGTTGCTCATCAGGTTCTGAGCCATTTGCCTCATCATCGGGTTTTGCATAAGACCGGCGAGATCAGGCATACCGCCGCCGCCTCCGCCGCCGCCGAGCATACCAGCCAGCGAAGAGAGGTCAGGCATGCCGCCACCTGCACCACCTCGAGGCGCATCAGCAGCACCTACATCACCACCCTCTTCTTCAACCTTTCTCTTGGCGGTCTCATATCCCCTACGCATGACATCTGAGCCACCGCCCTCAGCATCCATACCGGACTTGTACGCCTCCATAGCACCCTTTGCATCACCAAGCACGAACTTTGCAAGACCGAGGCGTGACCATGCCTTGGAGTAGTTGGGGTCGGCAGCGACTGCCATCTCAGCGTCCTCCTTGGCAAGCTCGTGCTTGCCCTGACCCGAGTACGCGGCGGCGCGGTTGGAAAGGTAGATGGGGTTGAGTGGTACGATTTCCAGCGCAGCAGTGTAGTGCTTAACGGCAGATTCATAGTCCTTCTTCTTCATCGCCTCGTTACCCAGTCCCTTCAGTCTCTCAGCTTCATCCTTGTTGGGTCCACCGGGTCCTGATGCGCTAGCAGCAGGCGTCTGCGGTGTTGCTGGACGAGCCTCCTTTGCTGATGAACTGCCCTCGGTGGTTGCGGTTGTTTTTCCCTTGAGCTTCTCGTAGACGTTGTAGATTGCAAGTAGATTTTGGTCACCAATTGCGTCCTTCTTTGCAGCCTGGTCGTCGAGGTCGACCTTGAACGCCTCGCTGATGCAGTTGGCGGCGACCTCGAGCTGTTCCGCGTCATCGGGGGCTACTGAGCCATCGGTCTGTGAAGTCTGGAGAAAGTCGATGATCGCAAGCGCAAGGCGCTTCTTGGATTGGAAAGCCTATTGTTGTCAACTAAGTTTACTTACATAGAGTGGGGCAACTTACCATGATGGCTGTATATGTGCTGTCTGAAAGCGTGTCGTAAACTGGTTGTAGAGTGTTTTGCACTATTTTACTCTAGCGGTATACTTTTTGACACGTGTTTTACACAGTACGGAGGTTGTTGTCGACTGTGAGTGTGGCGCGATGGCATTTCGACTCGAAGCTTCCTTCGGGCCATTGGCGGGGCAGCTGGTCAATGCCAAGCTCTACTACCTCTGGTCTCTAGGTTGACTGAAGGACATACCATATAATCAGAAGAAAGGGATCTATCTCTCAGTAAGAAATTTATATGGTATCATTCATGTTGCTAGATGCTATCATGGTACATGTCTACTTTTACAGATCCCCACTGCTATAAACACATAATAGAAGGGGAGATGGTGGTATCCGTGGGTGCTTTAGTCGTCACTCAATCCTTCCCAAGCGGCTTTGGGCTTCTCTTTTGGCCAAAGAGAGCTGAACCAAGATGATCCTGCTGGTACAGAAATGGTATTTGCACGCTCTTCAACCTCAGCGTCTAATGCGAAGCGCCTCATGCGTTCTGCGATGCGCGGATCCAACACCATGTCCTCTAGTAAAACCCTCTCTTTCGTCTCGCCCTCTTCCCGCTTCTTCGCACTCTTGTGCCAGTCTGGCTCCTCGTGTGCGAGTACCTGTTTCTGTTCTGGCTCCCCGTCGATGCCCTCACCCGAAGACTCGAAAGGTCGATACGCACCTAGGACTGCGGCTGCAGTCTCTCTACCAGCGACTTCCGCTACCTTTCGCTGGTTCAAGAAGCGGTACATGCGGATTGGGAAATTGAAGAAGCCGAGAAGGTGCGGGAAAGGAATGACAGCAGAAGGACCAAGGGCTTGTGGGCAGTTTGGAGAGAGCGTTGCGTTCTGATATTCAGCTGTCGTGATAAAAGGCTGAGGTTGTTTCTTCTTTTGTTTCTTCTCCTCCTCCTTTGGCTTCTCCGCCTCTTCTGGTTTTTCGGGGTTGGCGGTTGCCGTGGGGGATGCATCGTCGGTTGTAGCAGGTGCGGTCGCAGTGTTTTCCACTGGCTTTGCCTCTATCAACGGCTCTGGCGCTGGTGGAGGATCCAATGGGCCTAACCAGCCCTCATGCAGTCCCCGCACATATTCTTTCCATGTGTGTCGTCCAATGACAATATCTCCTCCCGGACCAGGCCACTCACTTACTCCTGCTCTTTGCCTTAGGCCTTCCAGATCCTCCGCAAGACCTGGTTCTATCGGCTCAGCAGTTGGCTCTCCTCTTCTCTTCCTCAACTTTCGTATCCGCTCTGCTAAGCCTGCTCTGACGTCTCCTTCTCTTCGACCCTCGACCGCATCCCAGTCCATCGCTGCTGCGACGAGAATAGGCTTAACATATTCGTGAAAGTGATCGCGCGCAGATACCAAGCCATCCATTGGTGGTGCAGACAGATATACCGTAAGCTTTCGGGGTAGCTGGTGTACATCGAGTGGCTCATGTGCAATATGTTCCACCACAGTTGCCCATTTCTTTTGTATGCGCCTTTTCTGTCGGCGGTCGTACGTTACCGCCGCAGTCCATGATCCGGTAATGGAGAGGAATATCATCCAATTGCGCGATGGTAGCCTGAAGCGAAAGTTTGGCAGACCTGTGACTGTTATTTGGAAGCCTACACCAGGCAGACAAAAAACGTACCCATCATTCTCCACACGGGATTCGGAGGCCTCGGGCGTTTCCCAGACCCTGAGGATGCCCCGCCAGCAGGCGGAGTCTGCGCACCTGGTTCGGCCATGGTGGTGTTGGCTGAGATGGCCGTTGGAGTTGCTGCTTGCGCATCCAGAAAATTTCCCGACTGTCGGCAAAACCGGAATCGAATCGGAACGGGCGACCTAGCCAAACACCGTTCCCGATCCAATTTCGCCCCAGCTCAACATCACCCTATCACCCTATCACCCTAGTACTAACATTTCACCCTATTACTAACAGACTAAACTCATCTCACCAGCTACGGCGCTGCACATCTCGAAACTAGTATAAAACAACTTGTACAGCCCGCCTCTAGCTTCTCCCGTTGTCTATATTAGATTATCAGCTCTACAAC